ACATGGAGAAGCGACGGGCCGTCTTCCCTATTCAGTAAGTTAACGGTGCACAGTGATGAACTGCAGAGGCGGTAGATGGAGAGAAACGGAGAGGAGGCGACAACCATATCCCAACGTACGGAACACAGCAGTAAGCTGAAGCTGTCTTTGTGTTGCGTGGAGGGCGGTACGTCATATCCCGACGTACAGAGGACAGCATGGATTTGGTGTGCACCCATGGCAGTATTCGCGGGGCACACGGAAGTTCTTTCCTCCGCGAAAGCGGCTCCACTCCTCTGGCGTTTCCACATTCAGACTTTCCTCATTTGGAAAGTCCCACAAGTACTGTGTACTTAGGCCTGCACAAAGGGGGGTGTATGTGTCCCGTAAACGAGACGAAGGCCGGACAGCGCCTACCTACTTGGACTTAAAGTTGGACAACATTCACCCACGGTTGCAACAGGACACCTTACGTTCAACTGTCAGTGCACACGATAATTCATGTTTCTCCACGGACATCCCGTTTTTCTCAATTTCTGCAAAAACAAAATAGCAAGGCGTGAAGCTTCAACCCCCCCCCCACACACACAAAAAAAAAAAAAACAGAGTATTGAAGCGTGAAGTGGCCAACTAAATGGCCAACAAATGAATTTTTAAAAACTCTACTGGGCGATGGGCAGCTGCCTCCACGAAAACAAAGACAATTGACACTACCGTCTTCACCCGAATAGAACGCCCGGTAATTATCGCTGTATCTGGACTGGAAGTTGCCCCAAATACAGCTATAATGACCGGCCGTTCTGTTCGGGTGAAGACGGTAGCAGTCGATACATGAAACGATCAACGATTGACGGATGTCACGGACAACGATTGATGGATGTCACGGACGGCCGCACGTGATCGAAAACGGAGGAGCACAAACGTAAATCGGAGGAGCTGCGTAGATGTTCATTCAGAAATATTGAAAATAATGTATAAAATAAAAAACTGAGTAGATGAAGGAGGGGGGACAGGAAGCAGGAGATGGAGGATCTAAACGACAATTTAAAAATAACAATAAAAAAAGGCAGCAAGACGGATATGAAGAATCTAAAGCAGGAGGCAGAAGGGCGCAGGCAAACGCAAGGGGTAATGGGGGAGGCAAAGAGATTGAGAGAGGTAGAGAGAAAGCGAGAAGAAGAGAGAGAGACAGAGAGAAAACGAGAAGGAGAGAGAGACAGAGAGAGAGAGGAAGCGATGGGGAGACAGAGAGAAAGGAAGAGAGAGAGAGAGAGAGAGAGAGAGAGAGAGAGAGAGAGAGAGAGAGAGAGAGAGAGAGAGAGAGAGAGAGAGAGAGAGATGAGCAGACATAGAGCGCATAGTGTAGCGCAGGACTCGAAATGTTATCGCCAGCAGTTTCTCCCATTCAGTAAGCGCATAAGGAAAAAGAAAAAGAAAACAGCAGACGATTGGGCCCGCCAGGTAGACGGTGATGGCACGAAGAAGAAGAAGAAGAGGGGCAAAAAATAATGGCAGACTACGAGAGGTAGGAGGTGGTGAACTCCAGCCAGCCATTGCAGAAAGGGAAAAGATGTGTGTGTGTGTGTGTGTGTGTGTGTGTGTGTGTGTGTGTGTGTGTGAGAGAGAGAGAGAGAGACAGACAGACAGAGAGAGAAAGAGAGACCAGAGCAAGGCAGCTTCGCTGGATTACACAGCTGATGAAAAGCTGTGCTACAACACATTGAGGGAGATGTGAGAGAGGAAGACAACTGGAGATCAGGCGAAGGAGACAAGAGAGGAGGAGAAGAGAGAGAGACGAGAGGGGGACCCACCAAAGACATAGAGCAAAGGCAGATGTGTGGGCGGCTGCTGCTGGTGCAGCTGCAGGAAAAAAAAGATGCGAATTGTTTTTCTTGCTCTTCCTCCTCCTCCTCCTCCTCCTCCTCCTGTTGTCGTTCTTCTTCTTCTTCTTCTTCTTCTTCTTCTTCTTCTTCTTCTTCTTCTTCTCCTCCTCCTCTTCTTCTTCTTCCTCCTCCTCCTCTTCCTCCTCCTTTGAGATGAGTATGCGCTGTTATGTAATGATGAACATTCAAAGCGTGTGCGAAAGGCAGTTGCCCACTGTTTCCACTATTCTTCTTGTTCCTTCTCTTCTTCTTCATTTTCTTTCTTCTTCCTCTTCTTCTTCTTCTTCGTCTTCCTCCTCTTCTTCTTCTTCTTCGTCTTCCTCCTCTTCTTCTTCATGTGGCGAAAGCCGGTCCGCAGGGATAGACCGCGTGTTGATGGAAATAACCTACGTGGACTGACTGTCTATTGCCCATCCGAGGGGCCGACACGTAACTGATTAGTACGACGGTCGACACAACATCTATGAGGCAGATCGACCGTAGCCATGGTCACTCGTGGAAGTGCCCCGGGAGTACTTGCTAGCTAGGCTGATAAGTTGTTGAAACAGTATATAGGAGGACAAGGCCGTATCGGTCCTCTATGCTCGGAAGATGGGTGGTGTGTTAGGCGGGCCGCAAGGCAGGGTCATGTGGTTAGCCCCCTGAGGATGATCGGAGCGCAGCCGATCGAAACGCGTCGGGGAATGTGCGCGTGAGCTGAGATGAGTACGCGCGGCTATGTATTAATGAGCTTTCGAAAGGCAGTTGGCCACTGTTTCCATTCTTCTTCTTGACGGACAGATTGCTGTCTGGAGTGAGAATGCAATTCTTACCTGCATGGCAACTAGCAGTGAGGTCGTACATTGTATGGTGGCTTCGTCTACACACCCTGGTTGGGTGCACGTGTGCGACTGGGTACACCGGGTCGCGGGGAAAAACGAGTACCCGTGCTGGGATGGGGTTACGTACTCATCTTGGGGCTTAACTTTCACCCCAGTCCACTTAGCCGTTTGGTTGAGTGTTTACCTCTTAACGTGGAGGTCTATCCTTGGATCGGTGCGGACGGACAGATTGCTGTCTGGAGTGAGAATGCAATTCTTACCTGCGTGACAACCAGCAGCGAGGTCGTACATTGTATGGTGGCTACGTTACGTCTACACACCCTGGTTGGGTGCACGTGTGTGACTGGGTACACCGGGTCGCGGGGAAAAACGAGTACCCGTGCTGGGTGGGGTTAAGTACTCATCTTGGGGCTTAACTTTCACCCCAGTCCACTTAGCCATTTGGTTGAGTGTTTACCTCTTAACGTAGAGGTCGCATGTTCAATCCTTGGATCGGTGCGGACAGACAGATTGCTGTCTGGAGTGAGAATGCAATTCTTCTTCTTCTTCTTGTTGGTCGAAACGCATAGGGGAATGTGGGCGTTACATGGTATACACTGAATTGTAGAGGTTGTCTTGTGAAGTATTCACGAAAGGCAGGGTCACTCTTCTTCTTCTTCTTCTTCTTCTTCTTTACATAACTAAGAAGGGCAAAAGTCCAGATCGGCCTGCTTGCTAGGGGGAGCGGACTTTTTTTTTTTTTTGCGAGTAACATCTTGTTGACGGCACTTGTAACAATGACATATGTACCACTTTAGGAGGGATAGACTTCTAGGTTGGATTTCGGAAAGCGGCAAGCCCCCTGAGGAGGGCCAATTGGTGCGTACGTATGCAGCAGCCTGAACGCGTCCGTCGGGGAATGTGCGTACACGTTACGAGCTATGTCGTTGACGGCTACGTCTCTGCAGATGCTGGGTGATATGATCATGTTACAGTAACTTTGCATTACGTCGATGGTTAGCAATTGGCCTGGCTTTTCTCAATTCTCAGTCGGTGGGCCAAAAGGCATGGTTGGTTGTGCGGGATGCCCCCTGGGGATGATCGGAGAGCAGCCGACCCGAACGTGTACCGGGGAACGTGCGCGGCGGCTATATAATGATGAAGAACTTTCGGAAGCGTATACGAAAGGCAGTTGGCCCCTGTTTTCACTATTTTACTGTTTCTTCTTCTTATTATTATGATTTGTCC